TGCTCCAATTATAGGGGCATAACGTTACTAAGCCTCCCAGGCAAAGTCTACGCAAAGGTGTTAGAAAGGAAGTGCCGTGAAATAGTTGATCTGAAGATCCAAGAAGAGCAGTGTGGCTTCTGGCTCCGTCGTAGCACCTGTGACCATATATCTGCCCTGCGCCAGACTGCTGAGAAATCGTGACAGTACATCCGTTCCGTATTTTGTTGACCTAGAAAACGCCTATGACTGGATTGATTCCCACGCAACAGTCTGTGGTCGTGCCTTCGAGCATACCGGAGAGATGGCCAGCTGCTAAAGGCCATCCAGTCTCTGTACTCTGATAGCAGGTGCTGCGTCAAAATAAATGGCATTAAGTCGAAACCATTCGTCGTTCGCACTGGTCTCCGCCAAGGCTGCGTCCTGACCCCTATCCTGATTGTGTTGTACATGGACAGAATAGCCAGGAGCAGCCAAGATGATAAGTGCATCGGTGTAGGAGATGTGGAAAACGAGAAGATTCCTGTTTGAAGACGACCTTGTTTTATTGGCATCTTCTGAAAGTGATCTTCAGTGCTCCCTAGAAAGGTTCGCAGCTTAGTGCGACGTGACTGGCATGCATGTGAACGTATCTAAAACGAAAAGCCTACTGTTTTCTAGTTCCCCCCTGCCCCTTGTTCTCTTCAAATTGACAGAGAGGCAGTGAGGTAGGTGGAGAAGTTCAGGAACTATTTACTAGTGACGAAAAATTGGAGAGAGATCGACCGGCGAACTGGAGTAGCCAGTGGCGTTCTCCGTGAATCAGCCCGATCCATTGGACTAAAGCAGAGCTGAGTGTGAAAACGAAGCTCTCGGTTTTCAGGTCGATCTTTATCCCCATGCTTACCTACGGTCATGACTCGTGAACCATCGCTGAAAAACTTCGAACCTGGGTACATGCTGCTGAAATAGGCTTTCATAGACGAGTCGCTGGCCTTACGCGTCTCGACATGGTCCGGAATGGTGATATCCGGAAGAGTCTTGGTGTACAGCCTTTACGTCTCCTGACTGAAAAGTCACAGCTGCGATGGCTTGGGCATGTGTAGCGAATGCCTCCAGAAAAGAAGTCTAAGCAACTGTTTCTTGCCCAACCGACCGGCAAAAGGCCCAGGAGACGCCAAAGTTATCATCATCATCATCTTCCATCGCGCTTCTAGTTTCGGGCGTGAGACAGACGCGTGAGACAGAGCTTCCAAAGTTCCCGATCCTGCGCCAAAGTCTGAGCTTCGGCAAAAGACAACTGAGGTCTGGACTCCTTCCATATATTTGCACCAGGTTAATCTTGTCAGTACCCCTGGGCCTTCCGCCAAGCTTAACCTGTTAACCCGAAAGTAGAAGCGATTATGGAAGATGAACAAGCATTGGGTATTGATGGTAATGATGAGGAGGAAAATCTAATCTTAATCGCTGCCGTACTCGAAAAATGGAGTCTCACGTGTGCTTGCTTCATCTATCTTCAGAAGGTTCGGCTATTTCATAAAATTCTGGAAGGAAGGCAAAATTTCATTTAATTGCCAAAGAACTACATAAATACAAAACAAGTCAATATATAAAAATTGAAGCACTGCCACGGCATTATGTCTAACGCCAATAACTCGCCTTTTAAGGTGCTGGCCACCTGCTTTAACAAACGATGCGAAAGACCGTCTGTTTAAATTAAAGGTAACCATTTTAAATGCGGGGCCTACGTCGTGAATCACACATTCGAATTCGAAAGGTGACAAAATTTTCTAAAATAGCATGCTTTCGTGATGAACAGTGGTAAGACGTACAGAATACATAGAATATTTAAGCACATCAATAGACTTATCATACAGGAGTGATGCGCTAAGCGTTGCTGCTCTAGCTTTATTAGCCTCATATGAGATGCCAAGAATTCGATTCTTCGCCAGTAAGATGCAATCATTCATCTTATGTTACATTATTTTCACATCAGTCATCTAGCAACAAGGAGAATCAAGAATATGGATAAGCTTCGAAAAATCATTTAGCTTCTGAAGAACTTAAATACAAATATTAGTTAAATATTCTGGTTTTTCCGGTATGAGTAAATTTCGTCGCTGAAATATATGGGAAGCGCAATTCGCTATAATGTTAAACTGCAAAAATATCTTTGAAATTCCTAATTATTACAAAGACATGATAACTGCATGTTTTAAATAAACCGTCATACAGAAAATCAGCATTATCGAAACGCCACTTTTAAATTTATTCAAACACCTTTGAAGCGTGTGATTTTTAGGTACAATGTACTTACAATTCATTAGTATTTCATTAATTTGCAAAAATACCTTTATTTACCTGCACTTTGAGATTCAAAATATCAATCACTTCAGCAGGTGACCTCACCAGTAATCTAAATCCGGTAACATTTTTATCCTAGGTTGATAAGTTAAAAATATAGATTAATAATTAGGTTAATTAAATGACGTGATAGATAAATTCTTTCGCGTTCTTCGTTAAGGAATAGCGCCGATGTTGAATTTCAGTGCTGCTATCAATTCATAAAGGGCGCAAACTAATGAATTAATGTTTTATTTACAAATGGCCAGGCGTAAACAGCGTTAAGTTTATGAAATAAGTAATAAGTTAGAAAATAAGATTATGAAGAGTGATAATAAATTATGATCTTTGGCCATGATAGTATGATAAACGACTTCAGCGCGAAGATAGGCGCGGACTGTAACATGTGGCCAGAATTACTCGGCAGTTACTATACTGACCTCGTGAATGACAACGACAAACATACAAACTGCTAAATCGTCGACGGGATTGTTTTTGCTCGTAGGTGCATTCAGAAAGCAACGCGGACGTTTTTTATTAGAACTAAATGCCCAACTGAACTAAGTCATCATCAACCGCAAGTGGTGTATGTCGTTACTGAAGACTCGAGTCAGATGCGGTTTTAGGAGTTGGTCATATAGCAATGTCGCTGTAATAGAATTTCGAACAAAATTTGCCCTATCGCCTAGACGTCGTCTATTTGAAGCACTACATTTGTTCGTTAGCAACGGACAGACATACGAAAAACAGCGCGGTCGGCGAACCAAGTGCAAGTATGGAGTTACGTTAACGCCGCTCTCATTGCTGTATTGAGAAGTGGAAATATACATGAAGTTCATAATGACTTTAGAGAAGTCTTAATTTCCAAGGTGAAAAATGTAGCTGAAGTCAAGAACACAATCCTGGGTTTTGTAAAACCATCCCTGGTTTTGTAAAAAAAAGTTTAGCCCTGAACGTGCGATCGATTTAGGCAAACAAGGATGAATCTTCTTGCAACACCCTGCTGAACCTTCGTAGACGGCTCGTCGCCGTCTCATTCACGCAATAAACGAGAGCTGCGGACAGGACAGATAATTTTGGTTAAAGGAGAGGATTCGGAAGATCTATAAGGCAGCCAGAATTCTTGGCTGAGCAAGAGTATTCAAAGAGCTGCGTAGATGTTCAGTAAGCAATGGATTTGGTGTGCTTTTAAAAAAGACGACAAGGGCGCTCCATTGCCAGCTCAGAAGGTGTCAGCGACTAGACATTGGCTGACCACAAAACATCAGTTCAAACCGTCAATTCTTTGCTAACATCAGATGTTAGAAAGCGCACTCATTAATTAAAAATTCAAAAGAAACAGAGCAACTAGTTCTAATCTAAATTATTCTTATTTTCACGATACAGCTTAATTACATCTTTAGGGTGAAACCTCAGAAACCTGGAAGCTCTCTGTCAGCACTGTTTGACTATGTACAAGATAACAGAGAGTAGTGTTGATTTGGCATTGCTGCAGCCATCCGAGATCTTCTCTGTCGTATTTTTTAAATCTGTTCACTCAACTGTACACAATACCTTGTTCTACTTATTATTTGATAATACCTAATCATTAATTTCGCTTTGATCGTGCGCAGAAAAGAAGTTCGATGTTACCCTCATCATGCAGCAAACTTTCAACTTTAAATTTTAATTGATGTTTGGTCGATGTACCTGAGGGTTGTACTAGCATACTGTTACACTTGCTGCTAGCTAGCTCTTAGTTAACGGCGAAGTTGTCAGTTGTTTCAGTAGGTTTTTTTTGCGATTTGTATTTCATATTGTTGCTTTGATCAAAATTGTGGTTATAGCTGCATTCAAGAACCTTGTTTTGTAATAGATTCCGTAATAACGTTTATAAAAGACAAGGTTCTGTTCAAACAATAATTAATGGATTTGCATAAACACATAAACTTTTTCCCCGCTTTTCTAGGCGTTTAATTTCGAAACTTGCTAATTTTATTTCATGCAAGTTTTTTTCTAAAGGTTAATAGAATCCTTGCTTTGATTTGCGGAATTATGATGTGTTTACGGTGTTCGCTTGTAGGCGAAAATGCTTGCATTCATGCAGTTGAGGCAGTTCTACCGAACTGGCGGTACGTTCTATCGTGCAGCCAATAAAATGGTGGTGTCTTCGAAAGCTGTAACTCCGTTCATCGCATCTCGGGCATGTGTTGCAAGCACTGCCGCAGCAGGTAATGCCCCTCTCCCATTTCGGTATGGTCAAATAAATTTTTGATTGATTTTAGAGGAATTGCCACACAGTCACGCGAAAACTTTCCTGGTGGAGCGCATCCTGGCAGCGGGCATGGTTCCTTTATTTGCCACATCGTTGTTCGTCCACAACGTTTATGTCGACTATACGCTGGCCTGCGCTGTTGCCTTGCACGTTCATTGGTAAGTGATGGAGTGATGCGGAGAAGACGGGAACTCATTAAGGTTGACTCTAAACGGGTTATAAAGTAACGGTATACCGGCGATTGTTCTGAAGACCTCGGCTCAGATATGAAGAGTTAAAGTAATTTTATGGCACTTATTGCGATAAATCACACGTGGCAGACATGTGGTCATTGGAGTAAGAGGTGGGCTTCATTAACGGCAGTAGGAATCGACCAAAGAATTGTTGCAGTGATATTTTTATTTTAATATGATGCTCATTCTACATATTACAGACAGAGAAAAAATGGTAAGACCCTTTATGCTGGGCAATTTTTGTTTCATAAATTTTTATTTCAGAAAGTTATAAGGGCACATTTAACTTCGACAGATGCAATATTGAACATTTATTTAACGTGTAAATAGGAATATCCTATATATGGATGGGACAAGGTTTCAGTCAAAGATCCTAGTTGTCTTCAGTCAGCTGCGAAGGCTAATTTATTCCTACGTTTTTGGACATCGGAGTCAACAATCTTTACATTTTCAAGAGGTCATAATGGATGGATGGTGTGAAAAATTGGATTAGAAGGGATGGCTTGTAGTCATGAATAACATAGTATTTTCTAAGTGGCGTATCGCTGCTGAACACCCGGTAACTACTGATAATCAGTCAGTACCTAGTATTAGTACCGTAAGGTATTTGGGTATCATTCTGAATAAATGCCTCAGCTGGAGTGATCACATTACTACCTTTCGATGATACGGAGAGGACGATTCTGTTTGCAGAGATTCCAAGCGCCTCAGAGTAAAGCAGTTCCACACTGCAGTTGTTTCCTTCCAGCCATTACTTGCACCTGATCAGTCTTTGATGATCTACAGAATAACGACTACGTCATTTTGAAACACGCCGTGTGGCCTATCTCCCATATAAGTGCGATTCCTCCAGAAGAACATGTTAACCGAATCACTGTAGATACCCTTTGCCCAAGCGATTTCGGCAATCGTTATTGAATGATAATGAACCACTGTATGCTAAATTTTTAAAGGGTTCATCGTTATTTCGTCATCCAGCCGGGTATGCCTAAAAAAGCATACCCGCAATAACTGAGCTTGTATACCACAGCTGAATCATGCCATTTTCTTTCATGATCCTGCGAGATAAATAGAAAGCGAAGAAAGATAGGCATTCATTTTAAATATTTTTAATATTCAGGCATAACTTCTTTATGTATTTATGCTCGATATAGTTTGAGTTTTTCTGCCGGTAACAGCAATATTGCACAAACCGTTAATTGACTGAGAATTCAGAAATATTTTCCTGTACGATTTTTCGGCTGTTTTTCTTTTAACGTTACTCATTCTCCCCTTTGAGAGTCGTAAAACCCACAT